TCATATGTCGTTTGTCTTTTTTATGAGAAGCGAAAAAAGAAATTGAAAATGACACAAAAAAGTGGAAGGACATCCCATGTTCCCGGATTGGAAGAATTAATATAACCAAAATGGCAATTCTAACCAAATTAATCTACCTATTTAATGCAATGCCAATCAAAGTACCAGACACATTCTTCACAGATCTAGAAAAGACAATCATAAAATTCATCTGGAACAATAAAAGACCCTGTATTGCCAAAGCAATTCTACACAAGAGTGGAGTGGGTGACATCTCACTCCCTGACGCAAAAATATACTACAAAGCTGTGGTAATCAAAACAACATGGTACTGGCACAGGAACAGTCATGTGGCCCAGTGGAACAGAATTGAGTCCACAAGAATAAATTCCCAATCATTCAGTCAACTGATTTTTGACAAGGGGTACCAGTCAATACAGTGGGAAAAGGAAAACCTCTTCAGCAAATGGTGCTGGAAAAACTGGATTTCCACCTGTAGAAAGATTAATCTGAACCCCTACCTCTCACCTTTGACAAAAATCAAGTCAAGGTGGATCAAGGATCTTAATCTAAGACCCAAAACTATTAAACTGCTACTAGAAAACACTGGGGAATCTCTGGGAGAAATTGGGGTAGGAAAAGACTTCTTACATAAGACTCCCAAAACACAGTCGATAATCCTTAATAACCAGAATACACAAGGAACTAAAGAAGCTGTTTGGAAAAAAGATGATCAACCCTATTAAAAGATGGGAGAAGGAGTTGAAAAAAACACTACCTAAAGATGACATACGAATAGCCAGAAGGCATATGAAAAAATGCTCAACATCCCTCATCGTAAGGGAAATGCAGATCAAAACAACAATGAGATACACCCTAAGACTTAAAAAAAAAATGTCTAAGACTTAAAAAAAAAATGGTAAGTGTTGGCAGGGGTGTGGTGAAAGGGGAACTCTATTACAATGCTGGTGGGAAGGTAAATTAGTCCAACCACTGTGGAGAGCAATTTGGAGATTCCTCAAAAGTCTACAAATAGAACTACCATATGTTCCAGCAATCCTATTCCTTGGCATTTACCCAAAGGACAGAAGAATTCTTCATTGGAAAAGTGCTTGCACATCGATGTTTATTGCAGCACTTTTCACGATTGCTAAGACATGGAACTAACCCAAATGCCCCCGTACGGATGAATGGATTAAAAAACTGTGGCACATATACTCTATGGAATATTATTCAGCCATTAAAAACAACAAAACCCTGGCTTTTGACAGAAAGTGGAAGAATATGGAAGATTTACTGCTGAGTGAAGCAAGTCAGGCTATGAAGGAAAGACACTGTATGTCCCCACTTAATATATACTGAGTGTCCGCACTCTATAACTGAAACTGACAGGCTAAAGGATGTACAAACACAAGAGGTGGATGTGAATGCCAGATGTGGTGTGTGTAGAGGAGTGGGGCCTGGGGAAAAACATTTGGAGGAGGGATATGGAGACAGCATTGTTGAGAAAGGGAGGTAGTGTTGTTATATTTTGATCAACTGGACTGGGGAGAAATGTTCACATATTGAAATGATCATCTTGTAAGCTAAATAATGTGATTGAATGTATTTAAAAAATGTAAATAAAAATTAAATAAATTAAATTAAAAAAAGAAACTTCCCTAGATATTTTTCGGTTGTCACCTTTCTCTTTCTCCCTCTTCCTCTTTGAAACAGGTGCAATTACAGCTAGTGAGACTGATCTACTCTGCACCCATGCACAACTTCCTTGGATAAAATTCCCATAACAAACATGAGTAGAGGCAGCAGAGGTGCTAAGGAGGCTGACCCTTGGCTGCTTAGGAAAATAACAGACACTTGGCATCTTGGGGGACAACTGTATCACACTTCCTTAAATGAGTCACAGAGGTCTTCTGAGAAGAATCAGGGCAATTTTCAGTGCCATCTGAAGCTAAGCATATGGTCATAGATGTGCCAGCACCCTGAAGGCTAAAATAAGGACAGAGGACCCCATAGAAGATGATTCCAGTAAAGGAACAAATGTGAGACCCATCAACCATGTTGTAAAAGGACACGTCCCCACCGTCCCAGTCCAGGAAAACTCCTATCCTGTGGGGGTGCTGCTTCAGTGATGGAGTTTCTAGTTTGGAGGTGGGAATCATGACTTTCCCTTCCTCACATACCAGGACCCAGAAATTCTTCTCAGGACTTTCTTTAAACCACCCCTCTCTCTTCACTATCTGTGAGCAAACACCCAGAATCAATCTAGTTCCAAGTTCAATTACTGTTTCCATATTTACTTCTACTTCCAAATAATGTCTCTCTGTGGTAAAGCAATTTTTACCCAGAACTCTGAAGACAGCTTCAGATTGCCCTTGCCCTTGGTGTGTTGGGGTGCCACCACTCTCAGAAACATCGTGTCCTATAGAAACATGTCTTCTATTCTCAGGATGAGGTTAGGATGAGCTGTATCTAGATCCAAAGAAACACCCGCTGCAGGTGTTGGAGGCAAGGGGAAGATCAGCCCATCATGGAGACTGCTTGGCCTGGGAAAGATTCAAATATTGGGTAAGGATAGAGGAAGAAAATGAGGGAAAAAGGAATGGTAGAATCGGTATAATATTTGGTGTGCATTCATAGGATATATAGAGTGTGTGATTCAGAGCAGGCCAAGGGTAGTCAGGACTTTGAGGACCATGTGTTCCAGACAGGCTGAGACCATCTAGCCTGGGTGCCTGTCTTCTCATTGAAAACCCTCAGGGTGGGACCAGCAGTTAGCGTAATGGCTATGTTGCTGGACTCTCACGTAGTCGACAGCAGTTTGAGTCCCGGAGCTGATGACTTAAACTCATGCTGGGCACGTGTGCGTGCGTGCCCAAGATCCCAAGAGGAGAATGGAGGAGAAGGGATTGCAGCGTGGCCATCCCCTCTAGGGGGCGATTA